AGAAGAAACTGAAGAAGAAAAAAAAGTAGAATTATAACACAAAATGAGCCAGGAGATACTGTGGAACTGGGATTCAACCGAAGGTGTAGCAAGCCTCAACCGAAAGGCTATGCCCAGCCAGGGCAACGCAAGCAAAGCAAAATCCGTGCAGAAGCAATCTATAGGTGAAGCTAAAGTTATCACAAAATGTATCGCAAGAACATCCACAAGACACGCCGGCAGGCCCATCCTGATTTATCTTGGCAACAAACCCGTGATTTCATGTGGTTTTGATCAATGATAGTTGGATAGGGTCACCTTTGAGCCTTATTTTGAATCCCAGTGCTCCATCGAAGTCTATGGAAGTCTTGTTGTTTCTTCTATGGCCTCATGGCCATCATGTTGCAGAAACCATCCCAGAAATCGCAGGTGTGTTCAGTAACACTTATATGATATCATTTAAATTCATTTAACAAACCATAATAACCCACGTATAACTTTAGTATATCTCACTAATTAATCTAACTGGGTTGTAACATGGTTATCAGCCACTTACTGACTGATATGCAAATCCTTGTGGTTTCAAGCACGTTTGTGCTCAACTCTATGTGTTTGATGGTCCAAATTGTCCAATATGGGTTGAAACCGTTGAAACCACGAACCACTTCATTCAAGTTGGTGAACCAAACTCATTTGCGATAGGTTGGAATGTCCCCCACCATTTTTGCACCCTCGAGTTCACACCATGTTCCATTGGGTCTGTTTGGTACCATGGGCTATATCCCAAAATTGCAGTTCCAATAGGAAAATATGGAAAAATATGATCCTCCCCGCCCCAGGTTTTTCTGTTTTTAATCAGTGTTTTGGAGGATGTGTTATCTGAACAGAGTCCGCAGAAATCCAATCTCAGGAAGTGCAAAATTCACACATCATCTCCAGGTTCTGTCCACTCAGTGGTCCAGATTCTGGTTTCTTTTTGCCACAGGAGGAATTCGAAGAATGCGTTGATTGGGATGAGGTGGAGGAGGACTTTGCGAATCGACTAGAACATAGGGTTACAAATGGAGGTTTCCTAAAATGGGAATACTCCCAAATCATCCAAGTCAGACCATCTAAGTATTGAAAGCCATGGTGACTTGGGGTATCCCCCGTTATCCCCCATTTGTTGGAGATGCTGAACGCAACTGCTCTTGGCTCGGCTCAATCGCAATCACTAGACCCATGACATCACGTGTGTTGAAGTCATACATGTCATGAATATATAGAAAAGAATCCCATGGATATATGTATAATCATGTACATATATATATATATACATATATATATACATATATATATACATATATATATAATTATATATGGTCATTTAAATTGTCTTATTGCAATAAGTGCATATCAGACATATCGTGAATCATGTAAGTGCCTTTGGCACACGTTCCAACGCCATATCGCGCGGTTCACCGTTGCTGCAGCGCCATGTCGAGTGATGTCAGGTGGCAGGACGCTGTACAGCAGCTTCAAGACTCCTGGACAAGAGTTGGCTATGTCTGATGGGGTATACCCAAATGGCCAAATGGCCATTGAAATGGGGAAAGTGATGATAATCCATTGGAATTGGAAGCCAACCAAAAAGGACACACCAAGTTGTGATGGGCAATCTTGGGTTTGAGCGTATTTTGACCACATTGATTTTGCTATGTTTTCTGGGAGCAAAAGAATGCCATTCATAGGGGCATCCCTGCACCGATATAGGAATTGAACTAAGATCCAACTTGGAGAGTTCTGGAAATCCCATACTCCAGTCCCACCAGAAAGTGGTCTGAGCATTTCCCAACACACATGGGGAATCATGGGGATGATTTTAGGTACAGAGCTGGGATAGTACTTGGCTGATACTCCGGGTCAGTGGCTGTTATATATTTCAACCAGGGTGAATAGGATTATATATACATGTATACTGTATATACAGGTTCCGCAAGGAATAACCACAAAAATAAGCAAAGGAAGTAACATTTTGAATCATTTTGATACCCAATTCTTCAAGGCACAACGAAAATTGATGCGACCCCCCCGGGAAGCTCCACCGCAGCTGATTGAATGTGGTGAATCCAATCATCAACCGACCATTTGGGTATGATTTTTACCAAATACAATGTACCTATTACCATGTATTATTACCATGATTTTTACCATACGGTAGGTAGTGTGATAAACCAATACCATGGTAGTATTGTGGATTATTACTTGGTTTATCACATTGCCTACCGTAGGGAGTGTCCCAAATGAGCTGTTAAATTGTGGGAATCCCATGTTCCAAGTGGGTTGTTGCCAGTTATTTAACAGCTACGACTTGAGGGCACATCCAACTGATCCAGGGGTGGGAGTCATAGGATAGCACTTTTTCCAGAGAACAAAGACATCCAGGGCTTCAAAAGCCATTTCTGACACTTCCTGAACCACCAAGACCTGAGGATATCTTCAAGACCGTCGGCATGCAGGCTGGACTTCACTGGGAAGCTCTCAATTTGCGAATGGTTCGTTCTGAACCTCTGGATCAACTGAGACATGTGGCCCCCAACTCATGTCCTGACACTCCCGGCAAGATCATGTTGTGTCATGAGTCATGGCTGTCCCTCTACTGGGTATAGCATGGTATAGCCAATGGATGCCAATGGTATTGACTACCCCGATGTGACCATGCTCTCAATTGGCAGGTGGGAACTCAAAAAAAAAGGTTCCAACAGATTCCAGACAATCACTACAAATCCATGTCACCATCCGTCACATGTGTCTCCAACTTGCCACTTACTGTCCACCTCATCATCCTCTTCGGCGCAGGCCTCCCAAGTGGCCATGGTCCAGACAGTGACCTGTTGCTGCAAGGCCTTCCAATGGCAACAGGCCCTGCTGCTTGCCATGCTGCTGGAAGCGACCAGTGCTTTGGTAGCCAATGTGTTCCCAACATGGGTCTTCCCAAACTATTGTAATCTATTGTATATATAGTGGCTACGAATATACGTATATATATATATATATATAATATCATTATATTATATATAATATCATTAAATTATATTATATATATAATATCATTATATTATATATAATATCATTATATTATATATAATATCATTATATATACATGCAGCAATGATTACAAACACATAAGATGTTTTAACAGCGATTCTCGTGTTCCGACCCGTGGGGGATTCGGTGGTGTGTCCCTTGTCCACATAGGGAGTTGGGCCTGGCGTGCCATGGATCGATGATTTTGGTGGTCAACTGAGGCACCCAAGCAGTCATCTCCTACAACTCCATCATCAGTGCTTGTGGCAAGAGCTGCTCAGTTTGAAAAGGATCTCAGTGCTGTCAACCATATGCCTAGAGCGTAAAGAAGACCTGTTTGAAATGAGCAAAATGTGAAGAAACATCACAAGCAAAGATTACATAAGGATAAGGTAACACCTACTGTTCACCCTCAAACATGTTGCCACCCTATTTGTTTAAGCGTGACTACTCGGCTCAGGTGAGTCAAGGTATGGACATTTAATGTACTAGCACTGGCAAGTACGCGCCAGTACTACGTATACTGACCATACACCTTGCATACTTGTTTGGACTGGTCTTTGCGAGTTGGGGTCCAGTGGGCTTTTGAGCTGAATGATTATACAGCCGCCAAATTGGATCACCATGTTTTGGTCCTCGAAATGCTCCAGATTGCTGAACAGAAAACAGAACCTAAAGATCATTCGCGGAAGAGATTCAATGGTTCCCAGAATCATTGCTTGAAATTGAAATTATGAGTCGGATTTAATCGGTATATATATATAATATCATAATAGTACTAATTACTAAAAATAATGATAATATAGTATACATCTACCAGTTCATTTCTAGGTATGTCAAGATATGTCAAGCCATTTGGTTGTGATAATATATATATATATAAATATTATATATATATAATATATAATATATATATATATGTATATATATATAATTATATTATAATATGTTCCCCGATCATGGCTGGCTGGGTGCTTCGGCCCAGCATGACGTTTCCCAGGCAGCGACTGGCATCAAAGTCTCAGCTGTTTTCAGCGTATTACAGAACTGGGTGTGGCCACGGTGGTCACTTATGGTGCCATGGGGTGTGGGTCCTGGTGGTAGGATTTAACCAGCAAAAATGCTGGCATCATGTGCACATGTTGCTATAAAACTTTGGAGTATACCATTGTACTCCATTATATATGTAAGATGATTTGGTATGAAACCATTTTTTTATGCTAGTAATTCTGGGGAATCTTTCTCTTGATGGAAAACACACATGGAAAGACTCCCTGGAAATCCGTAAACCGACCCTGTGATACTAACCTTTCCATGTTTGTAAGCCACTTCAATGTGGTTTGTGTTCCCAGAGGTCTCCATGCCTTGCAGGCACGTTCAGGCTGTGAGATTCCAAGGTAAACCATGTCTAGGTGGACATCCTGTGACGATCGACGAAAGATGAGGTAAGTGAAATTTGATCTAGATAGTCCACAATAATGATTTAATAATGCAATCTGAAAAACACCCAGAGTTCAAATGAATGCCAACAGCCTTCAATCGAGCCATGCTGAATTGGCAACCAACCTCTTCACTCCAATCTTGGGCCAAATGGCTGGCCCGCTGTAGGTAGCCCATGTTGGTTCGCCATGGCCATTCAAGGTGTCTGAAAAAATAGAGTACCTGTGAAATGTGATTAGTCATAATTTTCCCATTGAATGCAGTTTTTTTTGGGGAAAACCCGATTCTCAGACACACCCGTACTTAGGAAAACATGTCGAATTATAACGACCTCACTGTCCTCAGTCGCTGGAATGGTGATTGGTAGGGGCAACTATCCCCAGTGGTGTCCTGATACTTCAGGTCGGTGAATGATTTTTTCATCTACCGGGATACGTTTCCGTCATTTTGGAGGCATCCAATCTGCCGGTTTTTCCTGATCCAATGGGTCCAATGACCTCGAAGCGCTAGGTGCCATGATGGCTGTGATGGCAGGCACGAGTCTGCCGTGGCACATGGCTTTCTCGCTGATGGCTGAAATGGAGGTGTCTGCGGATGGCTGCGGGCAGGGGACGTGACGGACCTGACGGACCTGACGGGATCAAAATTGAAGGCCGGGCCTGCAGATTATGGACTATGGCTCTTGAGTAAACTATGAATGCTTGGCAACTTGGGATGCCAGGTTAGATATGTTTAGATTACATATAGACTACATATAATGATATATAATCATATAATATATATATATATATATATATTTGACCCAAAAGATACAAGCAATAAACGTATATTAGTAACAAGGAGATCTCTTTGGCCGATTTTCACCCTAAGCTTTTCGGACCCAAATAGTTCAGGGTTTGGGGGTTGTTATATAAATATCGATGAATATCGAAATAAATTATCTTATATTGTCCTTGTCAACAAATCCTGGATGCTTCCACCCAGCTACCCTCCAGCCATCATCTAGGCAAACAATCAAGATTTGCGTTAAGTTACGCATGAGCTTGTCAGGATTGCGCCGTTTGTATGACACCAGAAACACCAGAAAGTGTGGCCAATTGTTGATCGACCATTTGCAGCACACACCTTGAAGTTGTCATTTTGCTCATGGAAATGTCCAAGTGCAAACATGAACCCTAAGGTACCAAAGAGTCTTTGGGTTTCCCCTTTGTGCGCATATGTCAATGGAGTTTCGCGGTGTCTGAGGCCAAAAATGATGTCTTCAAATCAATCGATTCGTTTCTACATCCCAATTACAGCTAAGATTCTGAATATTTCAGAACCATTTATTGGTTCAATCACCAACCAAGCGGTAACCAAGACATCCTCAAAGCGGGTGGATTTTTGCCCAAAAAACAGAGACAGGTATAGGTCAAAATCATGGTTCTATTCTTGTTGTTTTGCCCCAGTTGTAAAAGTTTGTTTATAACTCCTAGTTATTACCCCCATGCACTAGTCCTATAGAAAATGATATAATACCCAACAACGAGTGATACCAGCAATTCACTAGAAATACCATTCACTAGCAATTCACCAGAAATACCAAAAAAAACAACCATTGGACTTATTTGTTCACCAACTTGGCAAACTCTTCCGCCACAGTTTTGGCTCCGCCAGGCACAAAAGATTGTTTGCAATCTGATCATCTACAATGCCTTGATCAATGTGGCTCCTCGCTTCAACGGTAAGGTTTTTAAGCCTGGTAAGTGATATAGGGATCTTAACAAAACATGGTGGTTTACAACCAACCATAATGGGGATTTAGATATGATGTAATATGATGGAATAATGTGGATATGCAATTTCAACAGTATGATATTTTGGTCTGAAAATTGGAGGATGTTCAACCTTGCCTTTCTTGAAAAATCCAGAGCGATCACAGACAGATTTTCGCCTGGCAGCAGGGAAGAGGGGATGCCGGCAGTGAAATCCCCCGCATTGGCGAGTGATTGTCTGGTTCTACCAGCGTTTCGGAAAAATGCAGCTTGGTTGGTAATGAGTGGAAAGGAAAAGCGTCCATAGACCTGATTTCTAATTTGGACATGTGTTTATTTCTATGACGCTCATGATACTTATTATACAGTATACATCATGATTATTGTAAGTACTCTTCCATCTCCAGTGTATTACAATAGGTACGGTATTATCATGATAATATCATGATAATATATTACTATGGTTATTGCCATTTTCATTATCACTACTTCTTAGCTATTATTTTTGACATGGCCTCCACCCACCAACAGTGGGCGATGAAGGTTGATTGGAAACCGCTACTCTTCAGAACAGGATCGTAGAAAAAAGGGTCACTGACAACGTGGGTGAAGGCTATGTACAAGTTATTGTTATTGCTATCATCCTATTGTTTTAATCACGATTTGAACTACGTATTCCAAGTTATTGCTACTATTGCCAGTATTGTCCAAGTTATTGCTATTACTCTAATTGTATGAGTATTATAGTAACCAAAAAGATCCAAAAAGATAGAAACGTAATAATCACCATTTTAGTAGGATTTTACTATATTTTACTGTTATACCTTTTTGGAGGTTACTATATGGGTTAGTCTGAAAATGGGGTACGGCTAAATCCATTCGTTGAAAAAATCATTATCCGTATACGTATTCATAAATAGCCATTTGGAGGTATACTGTTTTCAGACACATCCAAAAATCATATTATATATACCCTGATTCTCAGGCATATATATATATATATACGTGTATATATATGCACCATATATGGTTGGTGAGTTATATCCCAATTATATCCCAAGCCCAGATACCATGGTTCCACTGGGACTGCTGAACGTGGCCAAGGTTGGCAAGGCCGAGCAGTGGCAACTTGCTGTGGTCCCTTTGGCATTTCGGTGTTGCGTTTTCGGGGAGAAAGACTTAGTAGAAGGGGGGTATCCTATATATATATATATATACAGCATACACATGCACACGATACACGTATATTATATATTGTATATATATATATATAATTGTGTATATAATTGTATATATATATATGTAATTACATAGTGTATACAAAGGTCATATATTATATGATTTAATATGCCCACTCCCATACTTAGAGCAGTTTCTGTCACCCAGAGACTTCATAGATTACTTTCATGTTTCACTCCCATCCTTGGAGTAATTCTTGTAATCCATGAACTTTAAAGTCACCTTAAAGTCCCAGTGGATTCAAGATTCAAGATCTCCCCAAGCACTTTTTCCCTCTCGAATCTAGGATTCCAGATTCAAGATTTGGAAAGGGTTTCTCTTCAAATCAGTGCAGGATTGAAGATTCAAGATCCCACTTCTGGCAGAATCTTTTGAATCCAGTGGCCGGGAGGCCTTCACCTTTCGTGGCGGTCTGTAGCATACCTGGTAGCTGTATGGCAATCGATGGCACCTCTCATCACTTCCCTTGTATGGAAATGCGCCGATGTAAGCTGAACAAGGCTTTGTACGACACTTTCTGGGCATAGCTGGCTACAATTGATGTCCCAGAGTTTACATGGCACTGCAACAAAACGGTATCCAGAAATCTCACTGTGATCATCTGTGATCCAATTTTCATCCATTTTCTAAGTCGAATGGCATCTCAACTTTCTCTGTCTCAAACCATAGCAACTCAAGTTTTCATCACGTCCTGGACCTTGCCGCAACACATCCGGCGGTGCTCGATAGTTTTGTGATACCGGACCCAAAACACCCTGCAAAGCTTTTCCAAAACCTCGAAAACAAACAAAAATACTGCAAACGCCAATGAAAGACACCTGAAACATGTTTTTGTGGGTTGCCTGGAGTCTCCACTACCCTTCGTTTTTGGGGTCGTTTGCAAAACACATCTTTTTTGGGTACGTTTGATACTTTTTGAGGTCTTTTCATGCAAAAAAGGCCTTTTGTCTTCCAAGCAGGTGCTGGCTATATACACTCAGCAGTACTAAGCTAAATCATGTGAGCGTTTTGTGCTTGTCCTGTCTGATGTTGGATCAGGCACCCTCACACATCATTCAGACCCAGGTGCATAACTAAAACTTCATGGCTGAACAGCTTTGGATCCACAATTCGTGTCGAAATATAAAACCTTCGCCTGCTTTTTATAATGAGCTGCGGGGGCAAACATTTGCACATTGCGACACTTATGCCGAACATACACGGGATTTGAGCACATCCACTCGCCCTGATCTTGTGGCGCAAGCTGCTGAAACAGTTTTGACGGATGGACGGACGGACGTGAAAAAAAGGTGCGTTTTTTGAAAAAAAGGTCCTTTTGGTTCGGACGGGTCCAAACTGGACGGATATTTCCGTACTCTGGACGCATTTTTCCGTACTTTCGGACGCCGTCCGGACGGCCCTCAGCAAAAAAAGGTACGTTTGAAGGGAAAAATGCCTTTGCATGTTTGCGTTGTATGGGCAAATCTTCCAAGGACAAGTTGTCACCAAAATTGAGCAATGCACCCGCATGTCCGCAACTGAGTGCTGAGACCTACCCTCATGCGTGCAATAATGAAGGAGCAAAGCGCGTCCAAAAATCAAAGCAAGGAAGATCGAAACCATGGCATCAAACACGTAAACGAGAACCAATACTTGGAAATCTTTGCTCCTGCACATTCAAGCAGCCAAAACGAAATGGCACCTGCAACAATGAGTTGCAAGTTGGCAATGTGGCACATTTATTTGATTTCCACAGTTTCAGCTGTACCTCCATGAGTGAACATCAGTGTCATTCAGTGTAATGTAGTGTAGTGTTAGATAGTGTAGTGTAGTGGAGTGTAGTGGAATGTAGTGTAGTGTAGTGTAATGTAGTGTAGTGTAGTGTAATTTCGTGTAGTGGAGTGTAGTGGAGTGTAGTAGTGTAGTCGTAGTTGTAGTTGTAGTTGTAGTGTAGTGGAGTGTAGTGTAGTGTAATGTAGTGAAGTGTAGCGGAAGGTAGTGTAGTGTAGTGGAGTGTAGTGTAGTGTAATGTAGTGTAGTGTAATTTAGTGTAGTGGAGTGTAGTGGAGTGTATTGTAGTGGAGTGTAGTTGTGTAGTTGTAGTTGTCGTTGTAGTGTAGTGGAGTGTAGTGTAATGTAGTGAAGTGTAGTGGAAGGTAGTGCAGTGTAGTGTAATGTAGTGTAGTGGAGTGTAGTGTAGTGTAATGTAGTGTAGTGTAGTGTAATTTAGTGTAGTGGAGTGTAGTGGAGTGTAATTGCGTAGTTGTAGTTGTAGTGTTGTGTAATGTAGTGTAGTGTAGTGGAGCGTAGTGTAGTGGAGTGTAGTGTAATGTAGTGTAGTGAAGCGAAACGACATCTGAACCTCCAAAAGTGGTCCGAACCCCTAGTTTTTTTAACATTTTGACTTGGAAATGTGCTTCGCGCCACAACGGCGTGCACTTTTTCGACATCTGAACCTCCAAAAGTGGCGCGAACATGTAGTGTTTGTACATTTTGACTTGGAAATGTGCTTCGCGCCACAACGGCGTGCACTTTTTCAACATCTCAACTTCCAAAAGTGGTCCGATGGTGTGTTTTGTACATTTTGACTTGGAAATGTGCTTCGCGCCACAACGGCGTGCACTTTTTCGACATCTCAACTTCCAAAAGTGGTCCGATGGTGTGTTTTGTACATTTTGACTTGGAATGTGCTTCGCGCCACAACGGCGTGCACTTTTTCGACATCTCAACTTCCAAAAGTGGTCCGAGCATGGTGTGTTTTGTACATTTTGACTTGGAAATGTGCTTCGCGCCACAACGGCGTGCACTTTTTCATGTCTCATCTGGCCAGCTGGCTCCGCACCCGCCGCTTTAGCGAGCCTACTTTTCGACCCTCCGGAGCCACAAATCAGTGGAAAAAAACAGTGTTTCGCGACTTTCCTACCTTTTCGCGCATCTGCATCTTCTTTCTTCTGACTTTTTCTCTTCTGATCTTCTCTCTTCTGATCTTTTCTCTTCTGACTCTTCCCACCTCTGCTTTTCAACTGTCCATATTGTCGGAAGTTTCACTTCTAAACTTCCTTCGAACATATGCACCAGATGGTGCAGAGATGCAAATAACCTTTGAGATTTCAATCGCCTTGCAGCATCTGATGTCAATAAGTTAGGCCAGTTAGCCCGAATGTCAGCATGCAGATCATGCAGCGATGTTAACACTGGAAGGATTTATGAAAATCCTTTCAGATCAAGAACTCGTGGCCAAGTATAATTGCTTCAAAACATGCTTGGCTGGTGGAGGGATTTGGGGGACCTCATCTCTGGTGCTGTGAGCAGATGTCGGCTTCGGCGTTTTGGGGAATCTGATTTGTAAATCGAACGAACCATTCTTGGGCGAGGGCCAAAGATCAAAACTCCCAGTTGTTTGGTTCAGTTGTTTGATGTTGTTTGGTTCTTCTACTGTTCGTACTTCGAACCCTGGCAATCAGTGCGCTTGAACAAAAGTAGCCATCTGTAGGTCGGAAGATGGGGAACCTAGCTGGTTGTCACAGTCACAGTTGCCCTGAACTGTCACACTGTCACACTGTCATGGAATTCGCCTTCCACGCTTCGGAGTTTGATTTATCGCTGCCAAGGTCACAGCTACACTTCAAGACTTGACTTCGCGACAGAGCCTGAGTCTCCTGAGCATTGCATACGGTGGTGAATCTGGTGCCACTTTTTCCTGCTGTGCGGAACTCTGATTTTGGATATTTTTGCTGCTCTATCTTTTCAAAGGTATCTTCCGCAGATTTCAGAACGCAGCTCTGCTCGCTATGACAATGGTTTGTTCATGACATCACCTCATCCCAGCCTTCAAGAATCATTCCAGTTGCCAGTCGAAACATCGCGCGCGTTTTCTTTGCGAAGCACAGTTCGAGCTGATTGATTTTTTTGGGTGTTTTCAAGGTTGCCGTAACATGCCTTTTTCATCCTTTTCCATTTTCATGAAAAATGTGAAGTATATAGTACATTGCGCATTTGCTGCGCAAGAGTTCCATGCAGTTCCAAGAATTTTGATCTTGACAAACCCTTTTGCCCCGCACTTGCTGACAGGTCTCGGCTGTCATGATTCTGATGCAAAAGTTGATGTAAGGAACATCTAAAACATCTAACTTGTCATTCTTGTCATCCTTTCGACGTCCAGAACTGACCCATGAGGCAGAAAAATATGTTGCCCGACACAGAAGCGCCGCCATGCGGACGAAAGAGCGCCTTGGCACCGCGCCATTTTGCATAGCGCGGTCCTCAGTTGCGTCCTGGTATGAAGCAATTTTTCCCTTTTAAACTGCAGGTTTCTGGCGTCAGTTGTATTGAGACAAGGAAGAAACTGGACTCAGCAGGTGTCCAAATTGTGGCCTGGCTGAAATTCTGGCTTGCAGAGGGTTTTTGAGCGATTCAAAGCAACATGCTAACACATTCTGTCAGGAAACAGACCCTATTCCAGTCACCACCTGCCATGTATAGACTAGCATGTTGTACATGAGAATTCATTTAAAACTTATGGCCATGACTTTGGCTCAAGCATCAGCGTGATAGGAAAACAAGCTGCTTGCTGCATCTTGGGGCTGTGCGCCCCGCTTTCATGGTAGCGGAGCCTTCGGGCTTAGCACTCTGCGGTTAGACCCGCAGGTGCTGCTGGCTGCGGATTGCCCCGCGCCAGCGGTTGGTTGCGGGTCAGCCCCGCACCAACAAGTGGCTGCGGGCTAGCCCCGCGCCACAGCCAGTTGCGGGCAGACCCGCGCTGGCAAGACGGCTCCTAAGAAGAAGCCGAACAAGCGTGGGAAGCACTCGGCAGAGCGCACTGAGGCCCGGCAACAAAGGGGCCAAGAAAGAAGGAGGCTCGCCCAACAGGAGCGGGTCGAGACGAGTTATCCCGAACTGGTAGGGGGAGCCAGTTCATCTCGGGAAGCCCCCACTAGGACGGTTGTCGCAGAGGACACAACCGGCCCGAAGCCAAGAGTAAGAAGGACTCCCAGAAAGAGGGTCAGAGAAGAAGGGGGTGTACGAGTGAAACGCCTGGGTGTCACCCTCATCAACCTAAGGGAGCGGGAAGCACCGCCCCTTAGACTCAGGTCAGTTACAAGGGCCGGGACAGGTGCCAAACTCAGGTCAGCTCCAAGACGGGAACAACATAGAAGGCAGGTTCGTGAGAACTACGCCGAGGGTGCCAAGGCGATCCAAGCAGCAAGAGGAGTCTGGCATCAAAGGAGGTTTGCCCAACGAGTTCAGCTGACAAGGAGTGAGGAGTGCTCGAGTTGTGACGAGCGTACCAAAAGGAACAGACCAGAAGCTGCAAAGTTTGCCAACAAAAGGCTCAAGAGGTTGACCTTTGTCCCTGTCAAGCCTGAGTTGACACCGCTATTGCAGAAGTACCACGTTCCAAAGACCAAGAAAGCTAAGAAGAAGGTGATTGAAGAGGACGACGAGCCGGACACCACCAACCCTGTACCCCCAACAAACTTGGGTTGGTAAAGAAAAGGGGCGTTTATTGGTTGCCGGTTTCACTTGAAGAGGGTTCAACTGGTCATGATGACAAGCCCTTAGCAACCATGGTAGATAAAAGCCCTGGAGGGGTAGCGGGTAATGCCGCATCCCAAAGTGCGGGTAGCACCGCCAGCTGTGTGGGAAGCCCCACCGGCCAGGAAGTGATGGCAGCCATCAGACCTGCCAAGAAAGCTGTTCCAGCGGAAGCGTTGGAGGAAGAGGCGCGAGAACCGGGTGCAGTTGGGGAAATGGAAGTAGAGGACCCCCAACAAGTTGAACCCCCTCTCCCTGAACTTGGGGAACCGCCTGCAGAACCATCTGAACCAGCAAGGCCAGTAAGAGCCAAGAAAATCCCAGATACGGTCACCAAAGCCGAGTATGACAAGCACATGATTACACACCTTCATTTTAGAAATTGGTGTGAGTTTTGTATGGCTGGAAAAATTCGTGAGGATAGTCACCGTAGAAGAACTCCAGGAGACGACAAGGAAGTCCCCAGAGTTTCAATGGACTATTGCTTTTTGGGCAGAGTTCTTGACAACACCAAGTCTGAAGAGACAACGGTGGCTGAGTTGAAAGAGCCAACAGAAGAAGCAGAAGGAGTCATGCCCGTTTTGGTAGTCACTGACGAAAGAACAGGCTGCGTTTTCAGCAGTGTTGTGCAAAAGGGAGTGAGTGATCACGCCGCCAATGTGGTAGTAGAAGCTTTGAAGTTTTGTGGTAGACAGAAAGCCATCCTGCAAACAGATGCCGAACACAGCATCAAAGCACTTGCAGAGGCATCAGCCGTGAAGTATGGCAAAGAGGTGCAACACCAAACTGCGCCACGTGAATCTCACGCGTCCAATGGGGCCGCTGAAAGGGCGGTACTGGAGCTCTCGCGACAGGTGCGCACAAACGTGAACGCACTTGAATCAGGGTACAAGGACTTCAAGCTGAAAGTTTCCAGTGTTTCATACCCGTGGCTTGTACGCCATTCAGCATGGCAATTGACCAGATTCCTGGTGAAGTCAGATGGGGAAACCCCATATGAACGACTCAAAGGTCGCGAATACAAAGGTGAAGTTGTAGAGCCATGTGAAACTGTGCACTACAAACTTGCGCAAGACGCCAAAGGCAAGCTGGACGCTCAGAGCGCCATTGGCATTTGGGTTGGAAAATCCCTGCAATCCGACGAACACTATGTCGGAACAGCAGACGGCATCCGTCGCTGCAGAAGTGCATGGCGCAGGCCAGAAGGGCGACGATGGGAGCTGAAAAGATTCGAGGCTCTCAAGGGCGTTCCGTGGCAACCCAAAGGCGAGCCAACCTTGATGCCAGGAGCCCCAGGCACACCAAGGATTGCAGCGCCAGGAACACCAAGCGGACGCGCCCGAGGAGTGTACATCACAGTGGAACGGCAGATTCGCCATGGATCCACAGAAGGATGCCCAGGCTGTCACAGCTCAGACGACAACCCAAAGCCACACAATGCAACATGCCGAGCAAGATTCGAAAAGATCATCGCCGAAGAGCGAGCGAAGGCACAACAAGGCGAAGGAAGTGCCAGCGCGCAAGTTGAAGACTTGGAAGCGCCAGCGGCCGACAATTCCTCGTCATTGTATCGCGACAAGCGAGAGGCAGCGGGAACCGCCGCGCCTCAGGGAGTTGCGGGAGACTCCGCACTCTCAATCGCACCAAGGATCGCGGGAAGACCCGCATCCTCAGCTGATCCTGCGGGAAGCACCGCAGCTTCAGCAAGTGCCAAAAGACCCACAGAAGGCACACAAGAAGCCCAAAAGAGGCTGAAGGCACCAGATCCAAAGGGAAGCAAACGAGACCTTGAGGTCAGTGTCCAAGAGCTGCAAGACGCAGAAGACATCTCAACATTGCTGCTACAGCAAGACGAAAGCACGCATGCAGAAGAGAAAGGCACTTTGCCTACACTCCATGACGTGCCACTCGCAGCAATTTTTGAGGATTCCCTCCTCGCCGGATACCCAGAGTGGGGAAATGTGACACCAGCTTTTGACGAAAGATCAGGCGAAGCGCTGCCTCTTGAAAAGGTCAAGACCGCTATAGGGGCAGAGAGCTAGACAAGATGATCGAGCACAACGTCAAAACTGACATTACGTGGGAGGAGGCCAGACGACGTGGATTGAAGATAGTCCGCAGTCGCTGGATCGACGGATGGAAAACCATCGACGGAGATCCAAGAGGTGTGAGGTCCAGATGTGTAGCCCAGGAGGTGAACACAAGCCCTAGAGAGGACGTACACTCTTGAACCCCACCGCTGAAAGCTCACAGGATGATTTTGTCCTGTGCGGCAACCAAACGCAAAGGACAACATCAGCACGACAAGCTGATCGGACGTTACGACGTCAGTGTGGCATTCTTCCATGCCACATCCACCGGCAAAATCGCCGTGGTACCGCCGGATGATCTCAACGATCAAAGACACCTATGGTATCTCAACAAGGCAAGGAATGGAACTCGCGAAGCGAGTCGCCAATGGTCCGAGTTTGTAGACGGAACTGTGACCAGGAAAGGCGGATTCAGCAATGTGCCAGGAGTCCCCGGAGTGTTTTATCACAAGGAGTGGCAAGTCACAATGAGTTGTCATGGGGACGACTTTCTGGCCGAAGGCCGAGCGGAAGATCTCGACAAATTGGATGAGTTCATGCTGCAACATTTTGAAATCAAAGTGTTGCCGCGAATCGGCAATCCTGAGCACGGAGGTCAGTGCCTGGAAGGAGACCATCTGCGCAGGGCAATCAGGTGGACAAAAGAAGGGTTCACTTGGGAAGCAGATCGCAAATACGTCAAGCTTTTGACAAAAGAGCTTGGGCTAGAAGGAGCAAAAGGAGTTGACACTCCGAGCTCAAAACTGACAGGTGCTGGCTGCAGAACCAGCGATAAGCCGCTAGACGCAGCGGAAGCCTCAAGATTCAGACATCTTGCAGGGACAGCTCTTTACTTGAGCTTGGATACTGCGTCAACCCCCTGTTAGATAAAGTTAGGTAACAGCCATAACCCACTTAGAGCAGTTATAGCTAGATATAAAAAAATAACAGGAGTCTACTTGAGTTAACTTGAGTTAACTTGAGTTATGTTTGTGTCCCGAACTTGAGCATCTAGAGGCAAGCAATTTCTACATGCCGCAGGTAATTGACAGAGCAATCAAACAGTGTGCCCTGAAATGTTTTGCTTTTGAATTATTGGAATTGTATTGTTTCTTGTTTGTTTTTATTAGACAATATTAGTTTGCCTCAAGAATGAACATGTTACATTCAGTTTAAAAACATGTTACAATTACAATATTTTTCATAAATCCATAATCAACATGAAAATTCAATATTTAAACACATATTCAACGTTAGGTTTTTAATATTTTACATATTAGAAACGTATTTTGACATGTCATTTCTTTCCAAATACATTATATTGTATTCAATATTTTCAGATATAATATATAGTTTTTCAAATTTCAATATTAGAAAATTAACATCATATTTTTTCAGAAGGGTACACCCTGGGAGTGCGGGTTTTCATTGCATTCTATAACCACTGACACTGCACATGTGCCGTGGTTCTCTCACTGCTTTGCAACCATTGGCAATTTCTGTAATTTCTGTTTGGTTTTTCTGCATTGGCTAAACAAAACCAAAAACCAAAAACGCCCCTGCCGCCGACCCCGGAACAAAAGACCAGGAAAACGCGTTTTTGTCCCTTTAGCATTTGTTTTTTAATATTATGTTTCAAATTTTGGAAATCACCGGAAACCTGATCGTTTTGATGGGAAGACCTCGGACAGAAATATTTAACGGGCATAATCCATGATGTCTTGGGTAAATACATGTAAATTGGCGGTACAGTAAGCAAAACCACCATTTAATCACAACGAACCCTATTGTACCCCCATTGTTGTATAAATAGTCCCATTTAGATTTTCTCATATCCAACCAATTTATGTGGGAACACTCCCAAGATTTTTTCGTACCCTGTTTTATGAGAACACGCTCAACAATTGTTAATATCATTTTTCTTTATGCACCTCCCTGTTGTCAGGATGTCAGTTACAAAAAGTGCTGACGCACACCCCCAATGGGGGTCGGTTGATCACCAAGGTCACAGTTAATCAAACAAGATTGATATAAATATTGCTCAGTGCTTCGCACCTTCAGGCCTTCTCCTCCTTTTTAGATATATATATATATTAATTTACATTTATTTGATAGATATTTTTTATGAGTTGATAAACATATTTTTTGATATAGACTTATAGACTTAAGAAATAGTAAGAACCCTACATATGCACACACACACACACCACCCACCAAACCTCTTTACCCTCCTGTCAGCAGTTCCTCGGCGAGATCAACCAGAGTTTGGGTCTGGAGCCTTTCAGAATTAATCAAAATAACATAAACCCTCCCATTTACCCGCTTTTTGTGGCAAGGCGCAATATTGCTCGTGGCAAGGTGCAGCAACTAGCTACAGCGCACAGTATGCATAGCATTTTTTTTTGGGGCACTAATGGTTTGAACAAGGTGTATGTAACCTGTATGTAGTTTTCAGGCCAAGTGTCTTTGCTATTACTAGGTGCTCTTTGTGCAGTTTCTTTATGCCTATTGCCACCTGTCATTGCACAATCCCTTTTACACAGTGGTCTAGGTGGGCAAGGCGCAGTATTCTTAGTGGCAAGGCGCAGCAACTAGCTGCGTATGCATAGCATTCATATTTTTTTGTACTAATGGTTTGAACATGTTGTATATAGTTTTCAGGCCAAGTGTTTTTGCTATTACTAGGTGCTCTTTGTGCAGTTTCTTTATGCCTATTGCCACCCATCATTGCAAAATCCCTTTTACACGGTGATCTAGGTGTCCAAGTGTCCAAGTTTGTCCAAAGTCTTGTCCTTTCCCTGTAAGGAATTCTATACTTGCAATGATCCACATCAAAGTCTGGGTGCTGCAGAAGCGCCGTATGAAATTGTGCTGCATAAGCGCCATGTGAAACGGTGCTGCATAAGTGCTGTATGAACTTAGTATTTGTGTGGCGTTTCTATTCCCACGTCCCCCCTCATGCGATATCATGCCCCTACAAAATGACATGTTTCCTTCCAAGGGTATGTTTGTTTTGAATACTGCATTTGTTGGCAGGCAGTTGGATTTCTTAAGCCTCCCACCGTGTAAAAAACGATATGGGAAAATACGATGGCCAGACATGCTTGGCCATCGTATTTTCCCATGTTGGTGTTCTTCTGAATTTTTCAGATTGTTTCTGAAAATCTGAAATTTTCAGATTTTTTTCTGATTTTTTCAGATTTTTTCTGAAAATCTGAAATTTTCAGAATTTTTCAGATTTTTTCTGAAAATGTTGTATTATATTTAAATTTAAAGATTTTTTCTGAAAATCTGAAATTTTCAGACTTTTTCTGATTTTTTCTGAATTTTTCAGAATTTTTATGAAACTCTGAAATTTTCAGACTTTTTCTGAATTTTTCAGATTTTTTCTGAAAAATCTGAATTTTCAGATTTTTTCTGAAAATATGTTTTTTTCAGATTTTTCCAGATTTTGTTGTTTTTTTTGTTTCTTGTTTTTTGGTTTCTTGTTTTCTGGTTCATGATGGTGGTTTGTTGAAGGGGCTCTTTGCCAGTTCTCCAGTTGCAAACTTGCTTTTGGCTCATTCTATTATTTGCTTTAGGCCTGTGGTTCCATTAGCAAACAATGTAAACAACTATGGCAAAATGCAGGTGCCACTGGATATGTAATTTCTCAAAAACTGTGTTGAACAAATGCAAAAACATAGGCAGCCAATGCATGTGTGGAACTGATTTTGATAATGGCATTCTTGGCTCAAACCCTTAGGTATGCACATGTTCAAACATTTTGAAAGACAAGTGCATGTCTCTTATACAATGGTAGAGCCCGGTAGAGCATCCCATTGAAGTAGGGCATGTCTTAGTCTACTTCTATGTCAAAAATGAACCCTCTTGCACATGCAATGCCCTTTTCACACTATATTTTCTTAAATGCAGAACACATGGTACATGTAAGCACGTCAGATATGTCCGTCACAATTGCACATCATTTTTCTGAATGCATAATGTGATATTTTTCCAAGACAACGAACCATATTTTGGGAATAACACCCTTTGGTGTAGGCAGCCCCCCTCTTGAAAAATATTGTAATTTGATGAATGTGCATATTTAAATCTTCAATCAACCATTTTTTGAACATATGGTAGTGCTCACAGTTTCAAACATATTGCACTTTTGAAAGGGGTGCTCTATGTCAATAATATTTTATATACATGCAGAAATATTGACTCTTCTAAAAGGGGTACTGCTCCTTTGAAAGGAGGGTTAGACATCTGGAAATGCACATTGCACTCCTTCAAAGGGCATGGTGCAACTTTTCAAGGAATACTTCATATTTTCTTTGGATTATGTCCCTGCAAAAACACCGTTGCTCTTATTCAGAAGGATATTTTGTTTTGAATACTGCATTTGTTGGCAGGCATTGGGATGTTGTAATTATGTTGAAGTCATCTACCATATTATGCAGAAATTGTGTTTGTTGAAGGGACACTGTAGTAGCATTTATCCAAGGTAGAGTGAACACCTGGACACTTCTTCAAGCAATGCATGCTCTCTAGTGGACATGAGCACAGCTTCATATGTAGCTTAAGCTTTAATGTGATTACAGTTTTGAAAAAAAACAAAAAACAGAAGGGCATGTTTGTTTTGAATACTGCATTTGTTGGCAGGCATGGGGCTGTTGTAATTATATTCAAGTCATCTAGCATATTCTGCAGAAATTGTGTTTTGTTGAAAGGACACTGTAGTAGCATTTATCTAAGGTAGAGTGAACACCTGGACACTTCTTCAAGCAATATATGCTCTCTAGTGGACATGAGCGCAGCTTTATCTGTAGCTTAAGCTTTAATGTGATTACAGTTTAAAAAACAACAATAAACAGAAGGGTATGTTTGTTTTGAATACTGCATTTGTTGGCAGGCATGGGGCTGTTGTAATTATGTTGAAGTCATCTAGCATATGCTGCAGAAATTGTGGCTTGTTGAAGGGACCCTGTAGTAGCATGTATCTAAGGTTGAGTGAGCACCTGGACACTTCTTCAAGCAATATATGCTCTCTAGTGGACATGAGCGCAGCTTTATCTGTAGCTTAAGCTTTAATGTGATTACAGTTAAAAAAAACAACAATAAACAGAAGGGTATGTTTGTTTTGAATACTGCATTTGTTGGCAGGCATGGGGCTGTTGTAATTATATTCAAGTCATCTAGCATATTCTGCAGAAATTGTGTTTTGTTGAAAGGACACTGTAGTAGCATTTATCTAAGGTAGAGTGAACACCTGGACACTTCTTCAAGCAATATATGCTCTCTAGTGGACATGAGCGCAGCTTTATCTGTAGCTTAAGCTTTAATGTGATTACAGTTTAAAAAAACAACAATAAACAGAAGGGTATGTTTGTTTTGAATACTGCATTTGTTGGCAGGCATGGGGCTGTTGTAATTATATTGAAGTCATCTAGCATATGCTGCAGAAATTGTGGCTTGTTGAAGGGACCCTGTAGTAGCATGTATCTAAGGTAGAGTGAGCACCTGGACACTTCTTCAAGCAATATATGCTCTCTAGTGGACATGAACATAGTTTCATCTGCGGCTTAAGTTTCAATGTGATTACATTGTCCTGCTCTTCTTTTTGTACTTGTTGTTGCTTTTTTTGGGTTTTGTTTATGTCAATATTTTCCTTTAAAATATGAAACATATTTCTTTGCTAAATTCAATTTGTTATTTCAAAAAAACGTATCATGACATATGAAATTTTCTCCTCCAAACTAAATTGTTCAATTTGTTATTGACGTTTGTTGTAAGATAATTCTAAACACATATTATTTTGAACTTTAATTTCAAAACAAATGTTGTTGTTTTTAAATACTTATTTATTTCAAATTTGTTTTTGCATGTTTTTGAAAAATACTAT